GTAGTCTAGCCTGGCCTCAGCCTCCTGAATGCTGGAATTACAGGTGTGTATGCCACCATGCCCGGCTCAAAATTACTTTTTTTTTTTTTTTTTGGTCTTTTTCAGACAGGGTCTCCCTGTAGCCCCAGCCGGAGCTCACTATGTAGACCAGGCTGGCCTTGAACTCACAGAAATCCACCTGCCACTGCCTCCCGAGGGCTGGGATTAAAGGTGTGTGCTACCACGCCCAGCCAAAATTACATTTTTAAGGTTTCTGAATCTCTATCCAGGAGCTTATGATTCTGTTTCTGCCTGCTTTATCTTTGTTTGTTTCTTTGTTTTTTTGAGACAGGGTCTCCCCGTACCCCCAGCTGGCCTGGAACTCATTATGTAAACCAGGCTGGCCTTGAACTCACAGAGTCTGCCTGCCTCTGCCTCCCAAGTGCTGGGAGTAAAGGTGTGCACCATGACAAGTGTATTCCAATTTCAAAGTCATCCTGTATTCCAAAGGTTTGACTTCTGCTTCTGAGATTGTTTATTTTGTTTTGTTTAGTGGAGGGCAAGGGTAATCTTAACATGTTGCCCAGGTTGACCTCAATCCTGGGTGCAAGTGATCTTCCTGCCTCAGTCTTCCCAGTAGCTGAACTCTAAGCATACACCACCACGTCCAGCCTGCTGTCTTCATTGTTTTATTTTGTTTTGTTTTTTTGAGACAGGGTCTCACTGTGTAGCCCAGGCTAGCCTGGAATTCACAGTGATCCACCTACCTCTGCCTCCCAAAGATGTGTACCACCATGCCCAGCTTTCTTGTGTTAATTTTTTAAAGGCATTTTTATTGGTTGAGACTTTCATACAGTGTATTGTGATCATATTCAGACTCCTCCCCCATCCTTTCTTGTGTTAATTTTTTAAGTTAAAATTGCAACTGTTAATAGCAAAAAAGGTTATTATTATAAAATTGTTATTCCAATATTCACCCACTAGTGATTACATGGATCACAAATTAGAACTCCTTTGCCCCATTTGTACCTCTTGAATCCCTGTCTTTATTTTCTGGTCTTTTTGAGACAGGGTCCCCCTGTAACCCCAGCTGGCCTTGAACTTGCTATGTAGACTAGGCTGGCCTTGGAACTCAATATGTAGACCAGGTTGGCCTTGAACTTGCAGAGATCGACCTTCCTCTGCCTCCTGAGTGTGCCCTGGGATTAAAGCCATGTGACACCTCACCCGGCTCATGAATCCTGTCTTAAATATCATGATTTCACTTTCTGACTTCCCTTATGCATTCCTTCTAGCAAGACCCCGGCTAGGAGTCAGCCCACTCCTAGTGAGCTCATCCAGCCATGGTCTTCATTAACACTCGTTTAGTCAGGGAAACTGTATCCAGACCACTTTGATGACATTAACCTTGTCTTGTGAGAATTATGATCTAATTATTTTTCAGTACACTTGGGCTAACAAAATGCAGCTCATGGGTGTGTCATCTAGCAGCCAAACAGACCACTCTGCATTCCTTCGAAATAAGATATAGTCCAGTATTTTAAACCATAGCAACAGTTGATAAGAAAAACAGCAAAAAGGTAATCATTTCCATATGGAAAGAAAAAGGGAGAAACAGCGAAGCTGGGAATATCATTTTTCCATATGAACATAAGTCACTAGTAGCAGATCTGGCAGGAATGACCAGTGTTCCTGTTTTTTTCCCATTTTACACTTGTTAATACATTTCACATGATGTATTTTATCAAATGCGATTCCCCTAGAACTTAATGCCTATTTTTGTGTGTGATTTGTTTTCCTGAGTGAAACCAACATCTCTCTGTGTTAATTTCATCTAGTGCTATATTGCCTTGGTGATAATTTTCTCAATTTCAGAAAAACTATGGGTGAGTAAAAACTTTATAGCATGGTTGACAAGATGGGTCAGCAGGTAAAGATGCTTACCACCAAACCTCATGGACCCAAGTTTGATCCTTAGGATACATGGAGTGGAAGGAGAGAACTAATTCCTGCAAGTTGTCCTCTGACCTCCAAATACATACCATGGCACTCGCTCCCCCCCCCGCCCGCCAACAGACGCAAATAAATGTAATTTTAAATTTTACTGCAGGTCTGGAGATGGTTCAACAGTTAAGAGCACTTGCTACTCTTTCAGAGGATATGAATCAGTTCCCAGCACCCACATCAGGTAGCTCACAACTGTCTATAACTCCAGCTCCAGAGGATCCTATGCCATCTTCTGACCTCTGTGCACACATGGCATTCACATGGCATTCATAGATACACAGATACACATAAGTAAAAACAAATCTTTAAAAAATTTTCTGCAAATCATGTAATTGTCTTCTACAGCAGCTACACACATACAACTACTTTTAAAGCAACAGCTGAATAAAATTGGTTTCTGCTGATATTCTACAGTTCAAAACCAAAATCTGACCCAATTCACTCACTCCCAGAAAGTTTAAGAAAAGCAAACAACACATTTACTTGTTTACTAAAACATTTATTGTGTGAGGCATGCATGTGCCACAGCGTATAGGTAGGTGGTCAGAGGAGTCGGTTCTCTCCTTCCATCATGGGGGCCCAGGGATTGAACCCAGGTCATCAGTTTGGCAGTGAGTGCCTTTATCTGCTCAGCCACCTCATTGGCCTCTGGTTTTGTTTTTTGAGACAAGGTCTTGCAGTGCATAGAGCCCTATCTGGCCCAGAATTTGGTATGTAATCAAGACTGTCACTGAACTCTTGGTGGCCTGTCTCCATCTCCCAAAGGTTGAAATTACAGCCATTTGCCATGGCTTCTGAACCTTTTTTCCTCCAGGCTCATCCTGAATTCCTCACTGAACAGATCTGCCTGTCTCAGCCTCCTCAGTACCAGAAGCACAGAGGCACACCACTGTATCCGGCTTTTCAGTTTTACATAAAGTACAAAAATCTAACCCTACTGTAGAGCAAACTGTAGCATTTGACAACATCGCCCTCTTGTGGTTCAAGGCATTCATTTTCAAAGGTGAATATATTTAAAATTCCGAATTTGAGAATTTAGGCACAATGGCTCATGCTTGTAATCCCAGCACTTGGGATGCTGAGGCAGGAGGAGCATAGCAAGTTCCAAAACATCCTGGGCTACAGAGTGAGACCCTATCTCAAAAAACCACACGCAGGGGCTGGATATATGTTTCAGTGTTTAAGAGTGCTTGATGCTATAGCAGAGGACCTGAGTACAGTTCCCAGCATCCACGTGAGGTGGTTTACAACTGCCTATAACTTCAGCTCCAGGAGATCTGACACCCTCTTCTGGACTCCACATGAGCCTGCACTCATGTGCATGTACCTACACACACACACACACACACACACACACACACACACACACACACACACACATACACATACACCACATGAACACACACATGCACGTACACACGCACATGTAATTAAAAAATAAAACAAATCTCTAAACAAAGAACATGTTTTGGGTTATGACAAACACCGTGGAAAGCATAAACACATACCATCCGAGCCAAGAGAGATGGACGGTGACCCCTCCCACAACGACACCTCTGGGGGAACAGGACCCCAACCTGAGTGGTGGGATGCAGGCAGCCATGCCCCGTTCTGTGTTGAGCGGTCCAGGCTGTGGGGCTAGCAGCTACAAAGGCCCTCCTTCAGGTGCGACAACACTGTGGTCACCAGTCACTGAGGTGGTCTGGGTCCAGTTCCAGGGGAATCTGAAGCCCTCTTCTGACCTCCGCAGCATTTCACGACATGGGTGCACTCATCTACATGCAGGCAATACACTCATACACTCAGGAGACAGAGACAGGCAGATCTCTATGAGTTCAAGGTCAGCCTGGTCTACATAGTGAGTTCCAGGCCAGCTGGGACTACAGGGAGATGCTGTTTCAAAGAGACCCCCCCGCAAAATCTATCTATATCTATCTATATAGATATAGATATATAGATAGATATACAGATATATAAAATAAATAAATAAATCTAAAAGCCAGGCGTGGTGGTGCACACCTTTAATCCCAGCACTTGGGAGGCACAGGCAAAAAAATCTAAAAGAAAAAACTACATTATGCATATACAAAGGTTATTTTTAGCTTTCAATTGAGCTGTGAAAGTTTAGATCATGGTTAGTGAGTCTTTTATAGAGTAAAGAGGAAAGATTTAGAGAGTATATCTCAGCAAAGTTTTTCCAAAGTTCTTTTTTTTTTTGGTCTTTTTTTTTTTCTGTCTTTTTGAGACAGGGTTTCCCTGTATTCCCAGCTGACCTGAACTCACTATGTAGACCAGGCTGGCCTTGAACTCACAAGGATCTGCCTGCCTCTGCCTCCCAAGTGCTGGGACTAAAGACGTGCGCCACCACATCCAGCTTTTGCAAAGTTCTTTTAAATTGGGCTCAGTGGTGCATAACAGTTTACTCTGGAGGCTGTAGCCAGAGGATCTCTTGAGCCGAACAGTTTGGGACCCTGTCTCAACAAAATGAAGTTTCTTTTTTTTTGGTCTTTTTGAGACAGGGTCTCCTTGTATCCCCAGCTGGCCTGGAGCTCACTATGTAGACCAGGATGGCCTTGAACTCACAGAGATCCACCTGCCTCTGCCTCCCGAGTGCTGAGATTAAAGGCGTGCGCCACCATGCCCAGCCAAAATGAAGTTTTTTATTGAAGCACCACTTTGTTCTTTTTACAAATGAAATACCCTGTACTTTTTTTTTTTTTTGGTCTTTTTGAGACAGTCTCCTGTAGCCCCAGCTGGCCTAGAACTCACTATGTAGACCAGGCTGGCCTTGAACTCACAGAGCTCCATCTGCTTCTGCCTCCCAAGTCCTGGGATTAAAGGTGTGTGCTGCCATGTTCCACCTCCATGTACTGTTTTTTTTTGAAACATGCTATTCTCCATTTTAAGTGTTTTCTCCATTTCTGTGGCTATAGAATATAGAATGGAACCAGCATTCCACTTATTACTTTAACAGACCAAACTTTAGAGGAAGTATTTGTATTTATTTATTTTAATTTTATTTATTCTTAGATAGGGTTTCTTGTAGCCCAGGTTAGCCTGGAACTCTCTATGTAGCAAAGGAATGACCTTGAACTCCTGATCTTCTTGCATCCATTTCCTGAATGCTGGGATTACTACCAAATATGGCTCAAGAGTGAAAATATTTTAGTCCAGAAACGTCATAAGATGTTCTTCTCTTTGTGTAAAATCAAACGTTACAGTAACTGGCAACAACTTGTTCTAACAATGTAAAACTGTCCAAAAAGTCTTCTTCCTCAATTCCAAATTTTGTGTACTGATGAATGTAAGCTCTAGTGAAAAAAGCAGATGATGTAAAATTAACACAATTTCAGGCAAATAAGTAACTTAAAATCAAACAATAAATAGACCTATTCTAGCTCATAAACATTAAAAGATCACAGAATCTCTTAGAAATCTTACACTTACAAAGATTAGTGAACTTTCTGCCCATCCTCAAGTTCTCTGTGCTTTTTGAATCCAAGAGAGTGAGCAGAATGGGTACAGGGGAAAGAAGCACACTCAGATTTGGCTGTCCACATTGCCTGTCCAGCACTCTAGAGGAGATGACTGGGCGCCATGTGAACCCTAAAACCATCTGTGAAGTTTCATGAAAGGTTTGAAATTCGAAACACGTTGCTCTGATTCCAGGATGCAAAGCCCCACGCTTTTCGGAGGACATTTCAGTTGTGGTTCTGCTAGGGTGGTCCTTTCCACCCCTCTCCACCTTAATGTTGAGTCAGGAGAAATCCAGCCCCGCAAAGAGCATCAAGGGCAAATGTGAATTAAACTGGCATAATAACAATGGTGAGAAAAGAAGGAGCCAGGACAGGACAGGACAGGACAGGATGAGGAAGAGTGGGGACTATGTGACACTGGGGCAGGACAGAGTGGGGACTATGTGACACTGGGGTAGGACAACTGGGCCCTTGGGAATCCTAACTCATCAAAGCAGAGCCACCTTCAGTCATTTGAGGAATTTTGCTTTGATAGTAAATAACTGTCAATGGAGAGAGGTTAAGAAGACCCCTAAAACAGTTCTCAGTCTCAAGTGGAGTTGGACTCACCATGTATATTACAGAGAAAGAGCAGAACTGCCTCTTCACTCCCAACACATTTTTTTTTTCTTTTTCCAGTACTGGGGATAGAATCCAGGCCTCGCCCCAAGGATCTTTTTGGAAAACTATCCATTGTCCCTGCCTTATTATAAAATTCTGACTTTAATTTCATTTGGCTCAGAAGCTATTTATTTAGTAAACAACATCTATTAGTAATAGTATACACTGAGCATTTACTCCCAAGTAGCAGGCTAGTGTTTTACATGACTATCTTATCACATCCTTGCTGCACAGAGGAGGGGAGGCCTTTAAGTCACACATTCACAGCTTCTCATCTACACAGTGGCAGCCAGGGGAGCGCCACAGCCCACCCCATGCTTCACCTCGGTCTTATAGGCTAAGGTTAGGAAGGTTTGGAGACTTGTTTACTTACTTTGAAGCAAACATGTTCCATGCTTTGCCCACAATCATATCAAGTGGCTTTACTAAGAACTGGCTATTGCTGACCAGTGCCGCACACTTCTCATATTTGTTAAAGGCTCGCTGGGTTTTCCACACGCTGAAAGCATCAACAGGCTCTAACCAGGAAGTATAGAGAGCTGGATCTTTAAATGCCTCTAGAGTTAAAAAAAAATGCATATGATCAAAGTACCTTACATACATGAATGAGAATGTTATAACAAGAGCCAGTAAGATGGCTAAGTGGGTAAAGTGCATGCTTCCAAGCCTGACCACCTGAGCTCCTCCCTGGAACCCATATGGTAGAAGGAGAGAAACAACTCCCACAAGTTGTCCTCTGACCTTCACATGAACAGTTACACATACATACATACATACATACATACATACATACATACATACATAAATAAATAAATAAATAAACATAAAAAAAATCTCACTATGTAGCCCTGACTGGCTTGGAACTAACTCATAGAGATCTCTCTGCCTTCTGAGTGCTGGGATTAAATGTGTATGCCATCATGCCCAAGTTAAATATAAACAAAAATTCTTTTTGAGACAGGGTCTCTCCAGCTTGCCTGGAATGTGCTATGTAAACACGGGCTAGCCTTGATTTCTTAGAGATCCATCTGCCTCTGCTTCCCATGTACTTGGATTAAAGGTATATACCACCATACCCAGCTCAAATAATCCTAAATAATCCTCAAATAATAAACATGCACTGCCATGCCCAGTAAACAGAAGTAATCTTTGCAGCATAATAATTAAAAAGCTAGAGGCTGGAGAGATGGCTCAGTGATTAAGAGCACTGACTGCTTTTGCAGAGGATCCAGGTTTGATTCCCAGCACTCACATGTCGGCTATGAACCATCCTTAACTCCAGTTCTGGGGGAATCTGAAGCCCTTTTCTGACCTCCATGGGATTGCATGACATATAAATGCAGGTAATACACTCATACACATAAAATAAAAATAATAAATAAACTATATTAAGAAATAATTAAAAAGCTAAAATTAGTGAACAGATTTTTTTGTCCATTTCATCAAAATTAAAAAAAAATTATGGGTGTGCTTACATGAGTTTATATGTAACATGTGCATGCAGGAGCTCAGAGAGCCAAAGAGGGTATTAGAACCCCTGGAATTGGTGTTACAGGTGGTTGTGAGCCACATGTAAGTGCTGGGAACCAAACCCAGTAAGTACTCTTGACTCCTGCCCATCTCTCCAACCATCGCTATGTTTTTTTTTTTTTTCTTTTTGTCTTTTTGACACTGGGTCTCCCTGTAACCCTAGCTGGCCTGGAACTCATTATATAGACCAGGCTGGACTCGAACTCACAGAGACCTGCCTGCCTCTGCCTCCAGCGTGCTGGAATTAAGGGTGTGCACCACCACACCCGGCTTTAAAAATTATTTCTTTTTATTGTATAGTGTATTGTTTGCATGTATGATGTGCACCTGTCACATGTGCAATGCTCTCAGAGGCCAGAAGAGGGTGTGGGACTCCCTTTCCGAGTCATCTTTCCAGCCCTGTTTTTTTTGGAGACAGGGGCTCATGTATCCAAGACTGGCCTCAAATTCACTATGTAGCCAAGGATGACCTTATATGTATGTAGGCAAAAACACTTATAAAATCAAAATAAATAAAATATTTAAAAAAACTGCAGCCCTCACTATCTTACCTTGTACAGCTGTATCATTTGCTACACTTAAATTTTCAGAAGTTGGATTACTTTATATATCTTTTTTTTTTTTTTTTTTTGGTTTTTTTTAAAAAGGTTCTCCC